TATATGATATTATAGATATATTTCACAGCAGTATATGATATTATAGATATATTTCACAGCAGTATATGATATTATAGATATATTTCACAGCAGTATATGATATTATAGATATATTTCACAGCAGTATATGATATTATAGATATATTTCACAGCAGTATATGATATTATAGATATATTTCACAGCAGTATATGATATTATAGATATATTTCACAGCAGTATATGATATTATAGATATATTTCACAGCAGTATATGATATTATAGATATAATTCACAGCAGTATATGATATTATAGTAATATTCACAGCAGTATATGATATTATAGATATATTCAGGGTGTGTTTACCTGCAGGTGCGGGTTAAGGGCAGTATTAGCGCGCAGGTGAGCAGGATCGCGCCGCAGCACAGTTCGGGTCTTCTCTTCATCTGATCCGCCGCCTGCCGGAGCTTCGCCCGGATCCGCAGCATCACAGACCCGCTACAGCCAGCAGCGCATCCCGGGAGAGCAGAACCGAGCACAACCGAGCCGCACCAACCGCTCAAACACACGTCACACTTCCGCCTCACGGGAGGGGCGGGGCCAGGCGAGGGAGCGTCTCTAAACTACACGCACAAACGCGCGGTGCTTCATTTCATTAAATCTGGATTCTTACGAAAATTACGTTAAATGCACGCACAGATAAACGAGAATGTGCAAGGTCCTAGTTTAAAAACCGAGTCAGCTCCGAGTCTTCGGTGTTTTGGGGTCGAATGCGTGCGTGAAGCGGCTCTGAGGCGCTTTGTGAGCTGAATTAACCTGCTAACTTTAGCTGGTGTTCTGTGCTGGACTGGTTTGTTCTGGTTAACAACAGAGCGCAAACAAACATCGGACCAATCAGCGGTGAGCACAGCGCATTGAAGCCACGCCCCCAAACGACAGTAATAATCCTTCACAGCAATGTTAGACATGGACAACATCACGTGACCCTTAACGATTAACGTTTATCTGCTGCCATTTCTTGGCGTTTTGGTTAATTAAATCTGATATTAATGAAGATTACGCTGGAACATTTGACAATTTCTATTAATGTTTTAATGCAAGAAAATAAAATAAGCTTTAAATGAATATGTAAAGCTCTGTGTAAATCTATGTTTTTGTTTTCTTGTAAGGTTTTATAAATGTGCCTTTTATACCGAATAAATAACTTGTCAAGTGATCACTGTAATAACATGTAAGCAACAAACCAACTTCTTATCTAATATTAACAGCACTCAACACCACCAGCACTTTCTCTTTTTATTCAAAAAATGTTTGTCCATTTTGCCCCAGATTATAATATCCATTTAAATCATAATATAAAAATAAATACTGTATTATTGATTTTATTTGCACAGAATTGTCTGAATTTCTCTTAAACAGCATGAAACAAACACCCAAACAGGTGACTGAAGAGATGAATGAAGAAGAG